AAGTATAGACCAATGTGACTTCATAAAATAGAATCTCTATTTGTTTTGGGGATTAGAAGGGGTATTTTTAGATAATTTTGGTGGTCTTGTGTTTTAGGGGTTTCTAAGTTCATTGGTAAATTCTAATTGGTTTAAATATACTAGAAATTGAAAGAACTAGTGAGGAAGATAGGGATTGATTTTGGCAGGTGAATGGTAGATCTTGATTGGATTATTGATGTGTAAATGTGTAGTTTTAGGTTTTGGAGATTTCAGTTATTTGGGGAGATTGAAATGGAATATTTGGTTAACGGGTAATGGAAAATTGGAATCTGGATATAAAATTTGGTGAGGTTACATATTTTAGGGTTCTGAACAAGATGGTTATTCTGATTTCTTGGGAATTCAGGTATAAGGTGTGGTTTCCTAAGGTTTTCAAATGTTCTATGGTGATCTAAGTAGTCTGATCAAGTATTTGGGGGTGTGAAAGATGGTGTTGTCAAATCTCAATTCTTTTAGGAAATTTGGAGAGCTTTGGTATGTTTCCTAATTGACAATGTATTTTGTAAGGTAAAGGGGGAGGACTGAACAAAAAAACGAATATTGATAATGATGAATATATAATATTAGATATATGTCTAATTTTTCTTACAAAAATTTGATATTTTCTCAATTTTTTTTGTATTCTTATCTTTTTTTTATTTTTATTATTTATTATTTAATTATGATGTCAAGAGTTAACACATTTAACTTGAAAGGTTGAACTATTGACTTACCACAAAATAGAAAAACAATTTCATTTTTGGGTTCGTTTTAATTGTTTTTACATTTCCATAATCAATAAAAATAATTCTTATTTATAATAGTTATTTTTTTAATATGATTTATATAAAATATTTGTGATGCACCTTAATTTTTCTATGCATTTTTTATTTTTTATTTTTGTATTCATTTCTATTTAAAAAACATGAGTCTTATATTATTAAAGGTATTGAATTTAGATTTAACTAGTAGATGTATTAGTGAGAAAACTAAATACCTTAAAAAACCCATTAAAAAAGATAAGTAATCAAAGCATGGAAAAGTTGGATTTAAATTTTGTTTTTCATTTTTATTATTAAAAAAAATACTTCTTATTTATCATACTTATTTTATTTAAAAAGAAAAATATATAAGATTAGAGAAAGTGTATAAATTTTATGGACAACTTTTTATATTTTCTATATCTGTTTTTACTTCTATCTATTTTTTGAGTTTTTATTATATAATTATGACATCATGTTTTGACATATTTGACTTGAAAGAAAAAGTGGTCTCACTTTTTGGCAATTTTAAATGTTCTAGTGCATTTCTGTTATTAATTCTAAAAATATTCTTTTTCTAGCAAACTTATCCTTGTTCAGTATGATAATTTTATAATATCTTAGATATGTCAAAATTTTCTATAAATTTCATGATTTCGTAATTTTTTGTATATATGTGTGTATATTAATTTTTATTATTTAATTATTGCATTGTTGGTTGACAAATTTTACCTAAATGATTCAACCATCATGGTAATACATTAGGCTGAGTTTAAGTTCAACCCAAGCCCAACCCACACTAAGTCAAGCATGATCTATGCAACATAGGTCCAACCCACACTAAAATTTGATACAATTATGTGTGCCAATCCAATGACACACACACACACACAGGCCTAAATTGGGCTACCTAAAGGCTCGGCTTGGGCCCAACCTAAAAAATAGAAAAACAAAAACTTTTGAGCCTAGGCCGAGGCGCAGCTTAACAACAAAAAATCCAAGCTAACCTATCTAAAATTGCAAGTTGGGTCAATTTAGATAGAGTTAAGCTTGCCCAATTTGCATCCCTATGAACCATTGACCACCAATTAGATGAAAAATCAAATTTCTTTTCAAGTTAATTGAATTTTTTATTCTATTTCTATCATTAATAAAAATAACTCTTATTTATCAAACTTATTTTTATTGAATATGATCAGTACATAAATATTGGAGATGCACCCAAATGTTTTTTTCCATATTTATTTTTAATAATTTTGTCTCTATTTTTTAAATTTTTTATTTAGTTATGACATAATGGGCTGCCCCATTTGACCTATAAGGTTGAACCATTGATTGACTACTTGAATAGGAAAATGGTTTCACTTCTATGTCAGTTTTAAATCTCTATCATTTCCATAATTAATAAAATATTTCTTGTTTATCATACTTATTATTATTTTATATAATATAGAAATGCACCTAAAAGTTTACACAAAAATTTGTAACCTTTGTAATTTTATATTTTTATTTATTTTTAATGAGTCATTTTTAGTTTATTTTATAAATAATATTTAATATTTTGATCATTGAGACTAACTTATTAATGGCATTCATGAATTACCAAATATATAAATCTGATGGATAAGATTTGGTTAGTATTTGAATATTAATGAATCAAATGAGGATTATCTGGTATACATCAAAGTCAAGTCCATCCATTTACAGCCCTACTTCACCTATATTTGGTGTGATAACTTCAAGGCAACATATATCACATGCCCAACCCCATTATTTATAATATTTAGGGTCCGTTTAGTTCGTAGTCGGAATCGGAATCAAAATCCTTTGAAATCGGAATCGGAATGGTCTATTCTCATAGTTTGTTTGATTCAGATAGGAATGGGAATGGAGATTAAAATCAGCAGGAATGGGATTTCATTCCCAAGGGAAGGGAAGGGAATGGTTATTCCCTCAAATGGGAGAGTGTCATTCCAACAGGAATGGGAATGGGATTCCAATTAACAGTTGGAACCGGAATAGTCATTTCGATTCCAGTTCCAGACCCCTATTCCTGCAAACCAATCAGACCCTTAGTATCATGGTGTTGCATAATTATTGTGTTTGTACTTGATTTAACTGTTTTAAATCAGAAGGATCGAGTGTTGTGCAGAATTTACAATCTATAATTGTTTATAATGGTATTTCCTCCAAAAATCAATTTCTTCATAACCTAAGAAAAAGGATAATTAAAAATCAAATCAAATAGGATTTTGATTTGGTAAAGTGAAAACACCTATGTGGTGCTTACATGGCATTTAAACGACTCTGCAACTCCTATGCAACACCATGATGCAAACACTACCTTAGATTGCCTTTCATTTAGCCCAAAAAGAGCCCCCTCCATAAAATAGTTAAATGTCCAATACATCTTGAAGAAAGATCAGGTATGATCAATATCTGCACCAGGACTTGGCTTAGCCAGATTTGGTGTTCATGTCAATTTGAAGCCTTCTACCAACCCCTGAAAAGAGAAGACTTAAGTATATCTATAATGCCCCAGTAAATCTATAAATCCTATCAATAATACCATTTATCATTTATCACTGCACATGTGATCTTTTTATTGTAAGTCTTGTATCATAAATACAATACTCAAAATCTCACTTGAGACTTGAACAAGTACATTCAGAATTCAACTAGTATGGCAGAAACTGCAGTGTCCCTAGACTAACCAAGTAGAGCAATTTATGTGGATTTGTCCTAGAACGACCAAACCCTCTAAGTTCATTCACTAAGTCATTTAATAGTCCAACCATCCGTGACATGCCACTTTCATTTTCATTATTATTCAACCTACGTTTAACCTGTGCTAATTAATTAATCCATACACTGCTAATTCTACTATCCAAATATTGTAGTGTTTTTTCTTTGAATTTAAAGGGAAAAAAATGTTGTACTATATTTTAAAAGCTCCGTTTGCTTGCGGTGTGGATATATTTCATTTGCATTGGTGTAAATGAATAGGAGTGCAAGTGGGTTGAGTGTAAATCTTGGTTAATTTACTTTTGCTTCAGATTAATTTGGCTTTGTTTTATTTGTTATTTGCAAGAAGTAAAACCATGCGCTCCCCACCTTATATGAAAGAGAATGGAGATGGAGGTTATGAATTGGTGTCATCCCCAATTTATATGAAAGAGACTCAAGGTAGGAGGAAAGTGGTGTAACTTTTACATCAATTTTTTAGATGCAATGCAAAATTTGCAATACCACTGAGAACAAATAAGACAAAAATGAAGTGTGTGTATATATATATTGCATCAGATAAGAGTACAAAATACAAATCATAATTGCCAACAAACAGATGTAAAACTGAACTGGGTCCAAAATTTTATCCACTTCAGATTTGCACTGCAAACAAAAGGAAATGAGTTCATTCAAGTTCAAATACATAGTGAAAGGAAAATAAGCATGCTAGTGATCAATATGCATAAGATAAGTTCGCAAGTGTTTTTCTGAATCCGGATGGGCAGAGACAAAAATCATGCACAGCAGGCTGGACAACCTATCATGAGTGGAAATGCCAATATCAGTGTTCTGTATGCATAAAGTATGTGTTTGGTTCCCTTAATGTTTTTTTCATTCAACAGTTTATTTTATTTGTTTGCAAAATGAGAAAGGTAATAATTATAACTGTTTATGACAATTAAGCACCACATCAGCTTAACAGTGAAAAAAACGTCTAACCATTTGAACAAGTTTTAAAAAATAACTTTCCCAAATGACAGGCATGTACAGAAACCGAAGTCATCTTTTGCTATTCTCCATGCATACAACAATACATGAAAGGAAAACTTCTGAAGTGGCACCTATGTGGCAACTTTTATTGAATAAACGCCCAGGAAACTAAACACCCTCATATTGTGGGACCATTTATACCAAAGACTGAATTGTTCACTTGTGATAGATTGTGATAGATTGTGATAGATTGCCCAGCCCGCTGTGTACATGATTTTGTCTCCAGCCAATGGTCCCTTTTTTTTCTAATAAATACGCTATCATGCTGTTGATCCCTTGTTTGAAACCAGCATTTGAATAAACGTGTAGGACCCGTAGTCATATGAGACTAAAACACTGACTAGACTAAGTAAGTAGATCCTAATTAAGTTTCAACACTCATATAAAAACTTGTCAAACATTGAAAATTTGAGAAATATATATCAACCCTTTGAGCAATGCCAAAAAGAGGAAACAAATTCAAGGGACCCACAGCCCCAAGTATTTAAAAGAAATTTGAATCTAATAAGCAACGTTATTTAGTAGAAATTAAAACCAAACCTAATTAATTAAGCAACATAAATTGAAGATAAACTAATTATGCATCATGTAAATATATATATCCCTGGATCTGTTTATACAAAATTTGGTGGAACTGCCCTTCACTGCATTAAGGTTATTGAAGCGGCTTACCACAAGCGGGGAGAAACTCAGCAGCAACCCATTTGCTGCCACTAGAGCTACCAGCAGCTTCCCCATCCCCAAGTACCAAAGAAGACCCATTAGGCTGAGCCATTGGGCTCTCTTTACTCATGAATGATGTAATGGCAGCAGCAACAGCGACCCTGAACTTGGGATCCGAAGCAATAGAACTGACGTTTTCAGCTAAAGACGATTTCTCTTCTTCCGTCTTCCAGTTGCCCTTATCCACTCCTCGAAGGCTACCCAGTTCGTTGCTTATTGACAGACCACCATATGAACCAGCTTTATGATGATGATGGCCTGAGTTACTAGACATCCATGGGTAAACCAGCTGTGGCTGTGAATGTGAAGAACCAGCAAAGGAGAATTGTTGTGAGTTGTTGGTAAGATCAAGAACAATCCCTTTAGAGTGGTCGCTAGCGTTTATGATGTTGCTGAGGGTTGATGATGAATGAGGAGGAGGGCTTATTGAATGAGGACTGCGGTAAGAAATGGGTGTCTGTGCATCACTGATGATGCCATCTGCAACGACAGGAGTACCTGAATTTACTCCTGACAGTAACATAAAGGTCGCCGCTGTGGACGTCGTCGACGCCATTGCAGTTGCACCGACGGGTAATGGATGGTTGTGAGTTCCTTCGTATGTTGTTATGAGTATGGACATGTCTTCTAGGCATCTTTGAACCTGATCAGAACAGTGATAAGATGGAACAGGACTCAATTTATGGGTTCGAATTTCCTTCTGCAGTAGTTGCTTCAGTTGATTGCAATAAAGGGTTGAAAGAATTAAAACTAAAGTTAGTGAAGTTTGGGTTGCCAAATACCTGCTTTCTCACTGGGCAGCCTGGAGCCACTGTGCAACGATAGTAGGCTCTTGGGCAAGGGTTTCCTTTCGCAACTTTCTGCCCATATTTCCTCCATTGGCAACCATCGTTCATCTACACCAGTTTAATAATTAATTTCAAGATTTTTTTGCATTTGATCTGATCAGTATTGCAATTAAGTTAGAGGGAATTTTGTACTATTTTTATTTTTTTCTATTTCAATTTCAACTCAACTCACAGTGGGTGCTTGACATCTTGCTCTGACTGAAACCCTTGCTTTTCTGTTGGGTGGGTTAGGAGGATAGCTTGTGATCCCCGGCAATTGGGTCGTCCTGGGAAGCTTGTTTATTGGTTCCATGCTTTTCCTCTCTTCTGTAGACTCATCTCTTCCCCGTTGCTGCACATGAGATCCCATGCTCAAGGTCAATCCTAATTCCCCATCTTCTTCGCCACTGTCAGCTTCAGATGTTAACTGGGTTCCTTGATTATTGTTATTTTTTTCGATTTCAGGCACTTGTTTCGATGCTTGAATTGTTTTGGGACCTCCGCGGAGTGACAGAAAGATCTGAGGGTCCTATAGATCAAACGAAGAAAATTATCATAAAACAATTGAAAGAAATCTGCAGAATTAATTAGACTAAAGAACAGTGGGCTTACGTACTTGTTTTGTGTCATTCTGTTGGATGACTGCAAGTTTCATCTGAAGGTCATAGTAATCTTTCATGGTCTGTTCAACCACCTTCCTCAACTGTTTGTTTTCCTCTTTCATGCGGTCCATTTCCATCTGCAGCACAGATAGCTGAATTCAAAATGGCAGTTAATTAGTCTTTTCAAATGAAAAGAAGCAAAATACATGCACATGGACACACAGACACGCATACAAAAATCTGTAGTCACAGAAAGAGAGAGAGAGAGATGATATGATTTGTTGTTTTGCACCTCTAATGTCTAAATTTTCTTACCTTTTCTATCTTTAAATTGTTTCCCTGCAAGAGATTTTCTGGCGATGCATCATCTTGATCTTCTTCCCTCTTTTCTGCTTCTTCTATTCCATCTTCATGGTGCAATTTGCCTTGTTTATCATCTAGTGATATTTCGTGTTGCTTTTCTTCATCTTTTTCCCCTTCATCTTGGCCTTCTAACTTCAGAGACAGATCAATTTGCATTGCCCTCTCTTCCATCACCATTAATGGAAATAAGTTGCAGACCCCTCTCTTTCTTTCTCTCTTCCTCTCAGAGTGCTGCTTTTGAGGCACCAAAGTCAATTCCCATCTCTTAAGACGTATTATTAGACACACAAGGACGCATCTAAGTCTTGACTTTAATTGGCATTAAAATAATAGCAATAAATAAACAGTACAATATAAAACCCAAAAAACAACTGGCCAAGTTTGGATCTTCAATGCCTAACAAAGAAGACCTTTGAATTACCCCATTTTACCCACCAATAGTACAGTAGTTCTTTACACCATTCTATATATGTTTCAAGGTTTAAATAGCAAAGTTCAAAAAGGAATATATAAAATGGAAAAACATGGTAAACTAGATGGACAGCCAGGGAAATTGCAAGCTCATATCGTCCTTTTTTTTTCAATTTAATTTCAAGAGAAAAATAAAAACCAATTTTGTAATAATATTGATCACTATAGAATTTTCATTTCATTAACAGCTCTGAACTGGCTATAACAAATATTTAATGGCACTAAAATGACGATCCATCTTTCCATCAAATTACATTAAAAATTGAATGGTTCTAAATTTAATTTGAAGCCCATTATAACAAAAGAATATTATGGCGTCATGCTAACTCTCAAATTATTATACCCTTTACTGATTATAAAGGACCATATTCAAAAAGGAAAATATATATCCCAATCTTAATAAAACTATCTATAATTCAGTTTCTCTAGAAATAGTTGACAAGTAATTATCAGAGCTATTACTATTAGAAGTAGAAATTCAAAAGAAAGTTCATGGTCGTTAGGTCCCTTAGAATAAGGTGCAACAACCAAAAATAAAGCCCAAGTGGTCCATTAATATTCTCATAATTATTAATTCTTTTAGGGAATTAATATTCAACTTCATAATCAGTTATGGTGATTATTGTATAATTATTCACTGAACCTTATTAATACAAAATTTTAATTTAGTTTGTTAAGTTGGACAAGGATATACCATAATCAAATTCAATTAGGTTTGTTTGGTAGGTTTGACCGTGGGGAATATGCTACAGAAACTCGAGTTACAACATTCGGACCAATAAGAACATACACGTAACAGAAAAGGACAAAAGGTAAGCCCTTTTATTGTCCAAAATGACCCTATATTTTGTCCTTTTGACAAAGGCACTGACCAAAAGACCCATGTGGATTTTCAAAACTCGAGTTTGTTTAGAATTCCCTGCATAACAAATGAGAAATTAAATAAAATAAAAGAATTCTGTGTGACCTCATCTTGGTAATACGAGCCCTGTACGAAATCCCAAAACAAGAGAGCTTTGGGATCAGATCTTGAATATGTCGACCAGAACCAGAAGACTCCCCAACCCTCTATTCTACTCTTTTTTATTAAAAACCCATTAAAATATTTATATAATAAATAAATCAAGTTAAAGTATTCTTTACACTAAATATTACTCTCTGAGAGTTTCTTGCAGTCTACTATATTGTTTAAGAATTTCCACCTTTGAAAACCTCTCAAAGTTGTTGTAAAACTTCAAATTCTTTCTTTCTCTTCCGAAATTCATTAAAAGCTAACTGATGATTCATTTGGCTACTTTTCTCATTTTCTCTGTGCATTAGTTTCTAAAAGGATATATCGAGAGGGTGACTCTCAGGAAGGAACTACTGTCTGTTGGCATGGAAGAATACATTACATCGGTTATCAGTTTGTGATCGTCCGCTAAATATATTATATATATGATGATAACACCACTAACAAAAAATTGGTTTATTTTTCAATATATATATTGTCATGTTTCTATGTATGTTGATATTTTACTTTCTTGCATGGACCGTAGCAATTCTCACAAAGCCTGCTATTTCCCTAAATTTTCTATTTTTTAACTTCCTCTTTTTTCGTTCAATTATTCTGACTCAGAACAAAACCAAATACCTACGTAAAATGTGATTTTTTGTGTTTTTATAGATTTAAAATGATTTTTTTGACATTGTAATTGCTTTTGTTTTAGGAAATAAAATCAACCACATTGACGAGCAGTCCCTAATATTATGTTTGGTTTGATAAAAACAAGAGAGAAACAGAAAGTCGAGGGAAAGTTCTTGGAGGAATTTTATGTTTTTCTATTATTTTCTTTTGGGAAAATCTATGTGACTAGAAGGGCTTTGACCAATCAAAATCTCCTGCGAATTTCGATAAATAGCACCTGATTGGTTACAAGTTTTGCCTATATCATAATTAGACTTTTTTCAATTTCTCTCTTATTCTCTATCAAATTAAATACATCATAGTGTAACTCAATTCATACTAATATTTGATATTTTGAATAGATTCAAAAACGGATTATATATATATATATATATATATATATTATATGATATATAACAATATATATTACGATATTTTGAACCTTATCATTATATTTAGGTAAGATGAGATTTTACTTCAAATCAAATGGATCGGTTATGAACGTGTTTCAGAGGTTTTGAGGCCAGCAGCTTTAATTTTCGCTTTGCAAGGTAGGCCCCAAATGGACAACTTATTGAAGATTTGATGAAAATTCCACAATAATCCAAGTAATACTATCATATAGTCAAAAAGAAAAAGAGACTTTCCAATTAAACCATGTGCCCATTTGGGAGGATTTTCACGCAACGGCATGGCCCCATATGGAAAGCTATGAAACTGTATTTCTATTTAGTGAAAACCTGCAAAGCTAAAAAAAAAAAAAAACATTTTCATTGAGCTGAGAAATCAACTTTTTAATAAAGCTAGTTTTGATAGATTCTTCGAGATTATTTAGTCAATGCAGTTCAGCAATCCATGGCTTTTCAAAACCCAACCAGACCAGATAGTCGGACAGGAAAAACCGGGCACCAGTCAGATAATCAGTTCTATTTTACCCTAGAATCGTTATTTTTCCAAAAATGTTGATTTGGTTAATAAACCGTTGACCCAGGCTGTCAAATTATTCAAACCATCCAACGGTTTTTTTTATTTTTTGTCAAAACGGACTGTCCGTTCGATTTAAACAATCAGACCATTCAACCTGAGAACTGGACCCCTGACCAGTTCGTTGTCTAATTCAGTTTTAAAAACCTTAATCAATGTAGAAACCCTCCCAAACAAGCTCTTATTTTTGTGGCTTCTCAAAGCAGTTTAATAAAATCAATTCAATCAAAAAACTCAACTCTCCCAAACACAAATGGTCCCTAAAAGGAAGAAGGTGAACTTCACAGTTCTGACTTGTCAAAAGTAATTCTATTATTCTATGATGCATTTCATTCATCCTTCCTAAAATGGACGGTCTTTCTATTATGTTCTTCTGTTACTACTAAGGCTTAGTTTGGAAGGAATACAATTGCAAAATCTTTATTTTATATTATTTTTTATGTATTTACTTTCCAAACTGAGCCTAAATCTATATTTATTTTCAGGTGATGATCTGATTTGGGACTTATAAGATAATCCATGGCCCCACACTTTCACCACTTGATAATCAAAATTCTAGTGGTCATAAGAGTATGGTCGTATTTGGACTAATGGGCTCTGCTAAGACTACGCGTCAAAAAACAAAGGTCAGTTTCTTTTTGGAATTGTGGGGCAAATTGGTCGTTTAATGATAATAAGACGCCTAGCAAGATTCAGAGTAGATTCTGCATATATATATACTATAAATTTTCCGTATGGAATGTTTTTTTTTTTTTTGATACGTAATTATTCATATGAAAATTATGTTATCTCTTTCTGTTGATACCTGGAAAGAAAAGAAAAAAGAAATCTCCTCCCACGGTCCCACCCTCTCCCTCGCTTATAGAATAGCTCTGGTGATTGGGTCATGGGGTCATGGTTTGAATGGTTCGATCATATTACTAATTCAAATAAAAATATATAAATATATAAAATAAGTGTAAAGTATCTTTTAAAATCATTTTAAATTAAAAAAAAAGATAAAAAATTAAATACCAGAACTTATATACTACACAAACGCATGTAACCCAATGAATTTTGATGAATAGTTGAATACCACTTATTGCTAAGGGTGTTAATGGACCGGTTTTGGATTGGATCCATTCAAATCAAAATCAATCTGAACAGATTGAACTGATCAATGAGATATTGAATTGGATCAATCCAAACTCAATAATTCAAGTATATATTAGATTGGATTGGATTGAATTAATATCTGATCTATTAAAAATACAAGTGTCAATGGATCAGGTTTGGATTGGAATTTTAAAATCTAATTAAAACTAATTTAAACAGATTGGACCGTCCAAACATTGAATTGGATCAGTCCAAAATACTCATGAAATTGGATTGGACCTGATGCATTTGTAATAGATTCATATTGGATCAGATCAAATTGGATCTAATCCAATTCAATTGACATTGGTTATATGTTTTTCCAAATAGACAAACCCTTCTTACCAAAAGAAACACTTCTTATCAACTCAAAACCTTTAAGAAGGATTTGAGTATGATATTGAACTAATAACCTGATATTATAAAAATAGTAATCAATCAGATAGTTTTCACTAAAATTTAAGAAGGGGGTTGATTGGTTAAAGCTCTTGTAGTATCATCCCTTTCCAACCAGCATTAACTCTGATTTGGTGTTCGATTGCAAGTATGAGCGGCCGGAGGAGTGCTGTGTAAGGAGCAGGTCCGGATTTTCCAGTATCATAGATTTATCCTTTTTTTATTCCATTAGCCTATTCCCACAAGATTTGACCCAAGTCTCCACAACAACCAGCCAGGACCTTAAACCAAACAGTTGGCACCTTGAGGTTTACCCATCTAATATGATTGACAATTTGTTTTATCTTCCCAATTTGAATGGCCAAACTGTACAACCTTATCTGAGTTTGACAACACAACCGCTAAGACAACTACCACGAATTGAGAGATTATGATGTGTGTTTGATAGTTTGTTGTTTGTAATTTGTAGTTCTTCTAAACTACAAAAACAGCCATAAACCATGAAACTATGAATTTTGGTTATGTTGGGTTTGATAGAAAATAATCAAAAAATAGAAA